ATGTGATGGATGTTTGGTCTGCCTGCATATATGTCTATGTGTCTATGTACCATGTGCGGGCCTGGTGCCCATGGAGGCCAGCAGAGGGTGTTAGAACCCCTGGGACTGATGGCTGTGAGCCATATGTGGGTCCTAGGAATTAAACCTGTGTCCTCTGGAAGAGAAGCCAGTGCTCTTAACCACTGAGCCAACTTTCCAGCCCCTGAGTGACTCTATTTTAGTTAACTAAGAGCCCAAAGTAAAGCCCTGTAACTTGTAAAAGAACACAGTGTGGTTCCGAGGTGGGAAAGAACATCAGAAGTTAAGCAGTATAGATCCCTGAAAGGCAGCCAACTGTATCAGATAACCAAGACTGTGGCATTCGTCCACCGCAAGCATTCGTAGTTCAACAAAACACAGGCAAGCCAGTAATACAGCCAATCTTATTTGTAAACACTGGCGAAATCAGCTGCGAGTCACAACAGCTGACAAGATGCCTTTTCTGCGGGCCATTTATAGACAGTAAGAAGATAATCTACAGCTCCAATACTTGCCTGACAAGGAACCCACATCACAATCAAAGCAGAATGCCCGCTTTGGCATTAAAACAAAACTGTATCCAAGTGTGATTCCTTTCTCTCTTGGTCTTGTGACTCCCCACTTAAGAAAATCATATAGAAGGGAATCCAAAAAGCATCATAACTTCAGGCTGGCATCCAAGCAAGGCTTCCACCATGCAGAGAGGAACTCAATCATAAGCTCTTTACGGCAGGCCTATGAGGTCAGCCACTGAACCGCACGTTGGGATGCAAGGGTGAGGAGGTAAGTCCTATCATTGTGCAATGATCAGAGGGTGATGGGGTATAAATAAATCAACAAAACCCGGACGATGACAGGTGTGCTGTGGCAAGGGACTGTAGGGTACACAGGTGGGACTGTGTGAGAGTTATGGCAACCAGTGTTCTGGATGTCATAGTGTGAAGGAAGGGGAGAAGATGTCTGCAAAGCCAGGGTAGGAGGGTTTCAGGCACCCGAAGGCCCCAGGAATACGGATGAGCGCATTCCTGGCACTGGAGAGAATTCTGCAGGACAAGGCTGAGCCAGAACGTCCTTACTCCTATACTGAGGCTGAGAGGAAGTGAAGAAAGAAAGAGATCGTCGGGAAAGTTGGGAGGCGATGGATGGAGGGTTCCTCTGGAATGGAGGCCAGGAATCTTCAGAATGTAGTAAGTGGCACCACAGAGTGACTGGTGACGCTGGAGATAAGGCAGAGGCCCATGCCTTTGTCTGCTGAAGGGTGTTTAGACAGGAGAGTGACAAGATCTGATCTGCAATCTTAAAAGCCAGTCCCTCGGCTCCTAGGAAAAGAATGGACTGACGGTAACCCAGAGCGGAAGATGGGGGTGAGGGGTGTCGAAAAGTACGTCCATCCAAGAAGGAGGCAATGGTGGCCAGGGCTGGGGCCAGGGCTATGGTTACTGGAGAGTGTGCGTGCTCCAGATGAACCTGGAAAGTAGAACTCACAGGGCCAATGACAGCCTGGATATGGGACGGGGGAGAACCAAGGATGATGGGCAAATTATCAGAAAGACAGTGGGGCCACCGATTGGGTGGGAGGAGAGAGGGACGATGGGAACTAGAGGCAAGAGCTCCAGGGATGGATGAATTAGACACCCAGAGAAAGGTCTGTGGTGGGAATAAAAATGTAGGGCTGGTGACATATCGGAAGTAATACTTAAAGCCATGTGGGCTGTGAGGGTAAGTTGAGGAATCAGATAAGATGACCAGGGAAGAGAGTATTGACAGAGAAGAGGAACCAGGACAAGTTCCTAAGCATCGCCACCACCGGGAGTCAGATAAAGGAGCAAGCAGTAGGAAGGCGGAACCAGAACCATCAACAACATGAGAGGAAAAACAGAGGCGTGTGGTGTCAGAAGAGCTGGGAGGGCGCGGAATCAGGGAGGAAGGACCACTGGTGAGGAACACTGAGGAGGGGTGGGGAAAGGGCGGACATCGAGCAGTGTCTATGCTGAGGTAAAGGAAGAAGCCAGGCTGGAGTGTGGAAGTCAAACAAACGGTAGGAAAAGAAAATGAATGGAGATGATGGGTTTGCCCTATCTTTGAGATATCCTCAGAAGGACGAGGCAGGGGAACAGAAGCAGGACAGGTATGCAGGATGGGGACGGGGAGTTCTTTTGAAGATGAGAAAGGCCAAACTGTGCTGCCCGATGATATGGCAGCCACTAGCTACATGTGGCTACTTCAAGTCAGGTCCTGAGTCACACTGGGCACATTTCAAGTGCCCAGTGGCCTCAAGTGGCTGATGGCTGCTGTAACCGACCATATGGATTAGCACACTCCTGACACTGCCAGAGAGTTCTCTCCTACGGTTCTGAACTAGGGGGAGCTCCTATATTGACGCTGATAGGGCCTTAAGAAAGTGGTCCTCTGCCGGGCAGTGGTGGCGCACGCCTTTAATCCCAGCACTCGGGAGGCAGAGCCAGGCGGATCTCTGTGAGTTCGAGGCCAGCCTGGGCTACCAAGTGAGTTCCAGGAGAGGCGCAAAGCTACACAGAGAAACCCTGTCTCGAAAAACCAAAAAAAAGAAAGTGGTCCTCTGAGAAGGTGGAGGGGGATGGGCGGAGTCTACACCAGTAGAGAGCTGATGGGCAGCAGGAAAGACTGGCCTTTCAGCAAACAGGCAGGAGGGGAGTGGCAGCTTCGCTCTTGCTGTAGGACAGGCAGGAAGATGGAGGGGTTGCCTCGGTCTGTGGCTGCTACTTTGTCCACAAAAGGGGAGGCAAGGGGTGTAGAAGGAAAGGTCGAGCAATGTCTGAGCGATGCCTGAAAGGAGCCCGCACAAAGCAGCTGCCTCGGAATGCTGTCACACACACTGGAGACATCACATCCCTAATGCAGGACACTTCACTGAAGTGAAAGGGCAGGAAACACCTAAGGGGGGATGCAGCCTCAGTGAGGAAGTCAAGTCAGGTGGCTGGCTCTTTATTTCCTTAAATCCTTGTCCGGTCTGATGGGGCTCTGACAAGGACCCCAGCCAGGTCTGCTACAGGCTGCTGTTATTGCTCGTCCTTCCCATCCTACACAACTCTCGGAAAGGATGGCAGTAGTTCTGTTTTTTATTAAAATGGCTCCCTCCATCCACCTCCTCTGCCTGGACTATTTACCTAGCCTCTAACTCCATCTCATTTTACAGTCATGGCTTGTACATTCACACGAACTACAGAAGGGACTATATTTTAAAATGGCAGGGAGAGCTAAGAGCTACAAATCAGCTATTAGCTACAAGAAGTGAGTAATGCACATTTATTGAGTGATGTTAAAATTACATGAAAGACATGTTCTATGTTTAAAACAAAATGCCCAAGCTACTCCTCCCTGTTTTTCCACAAACAAAAACTGTTTTCTGGTATTTTCTTTAAGCTTTTGTGAGTAAACATTTTCATTTCCACCGACGTATTTTAACCACATTAACCACAGAGTTTCGATGTTTGTTTTTGATATGCAAGTGGGCTCCTCTGGGTTTGTGTCAGCTGAGGGGGAGGCGCAGGAGAAGAGTTAAAATTTCCAGGTCCTTTTATCTCCCATCTTGAGACCTACATTTGCTAACTCCTTCCCAAAGATTTTGTTTTTAAGTATGAAATCTGAGAGCCTCAAAGATTCCCACTGCTCAGAGCTCAGCTCTTTCATATCTGCTGAGAGATGGCTGAAAATGTTATAAAAATCTGCCACCCAGCTAGGGTGACTCTGTCTATCACGTCCCCCCACCCCCCACCCCAGTTGCCCAACATGTTAAATCTCTTGGATAGGCATCAATATTCCTAAGCAAATTTCCGCTGGGCCCCTCTGTCCCCCATGTTCCTGTTGGCCACAGCCCTCCACTCTCCTTCTCCAAGCTCTCCCTTGCTTGCCTCTGCTCCCACCAAAACTCTACCTGCCCCCGGGAGAAAGCCACTCCAGAGACTTGCCCGGAGCTAGGCACAGCAAAGCCGCTGACCCATAGGGACTGGTCAGGCCACCAGGGCAATCTTGCCTCTTTCCACTGCACCCATGCCTTCCCACACTAATCTATCCCCAAAGAGAAGCAACTTCTCTAGACCTATACAGCAGAAGGCCCTGGGTCCCACGAAGGGCTGTTCGAAGAATTCTAGGCTCAGCAGCAGGGGACAGAGATTCAAGACCTCTGGTTCACTCCAACCATCCTCGTGGTCCCTGTCAGGCAGTGGCCTTGCCTCTGCCGATGAGCAACCACGCACTAGACTCTCCCGTTTTACAAATGCATCAGCTGTGCAAGCTGGAAGAAGTCACCCAACTACTCTGGACTCGGTTTCCTCAGGTGGAGAGCAAGCACAATAAGCATTCCCTGCATGGAGAAGCACCGTGAATGTGCGCTCGCTCGCATCGGTGAGCAGAGGTAAGGAGTTACAGTGTTATTAGCACAGTGGCTCCTGACTCACAGCGCCTAGTGCTCGGAGAGACGCCGAGGAGAAATCAATCCCGCTTTGAAAATTACTTTATATACTCAGAAACATTAGTCACTTCAACTGAGCATCTGGAGCCTCACCTAGGTTCCTTACAGATTTCCACCATCCTCAGCCATCTCAACGCTGCCTGCAAGCCCACTATTCCTACGCCGAAGGGTTATGATTGGGTGTGTTTCCTTTCCAGGAAAACTTCGATTTCAATGTCGTTGGCAATACATGCAGCCGTGAAGAATGGCAAACTGCTCTTCACACTCACAGACCCAGGCCCTGGAGTTGGTCGCGCCAGGGGCAAGGAGACCGCGGAATGGCTGAAGCGCCGAGACCAGCCCGGGTGCGGGTCCCCGCCAGGTGTCTCCGCGCCGGTTTAGCCGAGAAAGAAAGGGCCGTGGGCTCCGGGCGCAAAGTCCGCGCCCAGGCCGGGGGGACACCCCCCCCCCCCCCCACCGTGCCCCGAGCTCCCGCCGCAGCAAGCGATCGGCGGCCCGGAGCCCCTCGCGGGCGCCCCGCGAGCTCACTCACCCCATCTCCGGCGCTGCTCCTGCGGCCGCTCCGACGGGGCCCCTGGCGTTCGCTGTCCGCCCGCTCGGCAGCTGCTCCCCGCGCGGCACATGCGGCGGCCCGAGTGCGCCCGGCTCAGCCCCGGCGCCGCTCCATTCCGCCGGCTGCGCGGCTTCTGTGCTGGTGTCGGGGCCGCCGCCAGGCGCAGGCGGCCGGGAGGGCGGGGGCTGGGCGGCCGGGGGCTGGGCGGCCGCGCTCGGGCGGAGCCGCCGGGGCCTCCCGCCCGCTCCTTACGTAACCTCGTGGCCCCCGGGCCGCCGCCGCCGCCCGCCTGGAGCCGGGGGCGCGGCAGCGTGTGCAGAGCTCCCCCACACCCCGCCGCACGCCGCCGCGCAGTCGCCGCTTCTTCCCGCAGCCCCCTCCTCTCCTGGGTCGACCCCGCACCCGCGCGCCCTGCCAGGCTTGGCACTGCGCCTCGGGCGGGATGTCCCGCCTGCTGCTGGACTTGAAGTCGCAGCTGGCGGGGACTTTTTGGCCACCTTTAGTTTGCAGATGAGGGAACCCAAGCCCCCCAGGGAGGAGAAATGATGTGACCAAGGTCATATACTCAGGTAGAGCTCAGGTCCACAGAGCTGAGATCAGTAGGACCACGACTTGCCCCACCTCCCTCCTTAAAGCCCACCTCCGTCTTCCTGCCCACTGTCTGGCTGGGTAGCCTTAGAGTAACAACCCCATTAAAATCCTGGAGGCTAATGTAGCAGGGAGGCTCCTATAGTCCAAAGCTGGTGCCCTGACTCTTCGCTGGGTAAAGACAGAATCGCACACCTTCAACATAGCGGGTTGGCAAAATTTAAGAGACTTCCTTAACCTTGGCTTAAAGGCGGTCTCTTCAGCCCCCTTCCACACACCAAATCCTGATTCCCTACCGAAGGCCAGCACTGGTACCAACCTAACCATCACCTCCCTGGGCCTTCCACAGGATTGCTGCGGAGCGCATGCTGCCCACATGGACTGGCATCTCTGGACAGGGATGGGGGGAAGGCAAGGACAAGCAACTGGAAGAGGACCACCACCCTACCCCTGCCTCATTTCCCTCTGGGCAACTGTTGCCTGCTAGCTAGCTTCTTCTCCTCAGGAGAGCACCAGCCCCTGTCTAAACTGAGGTCAGAAATTTCTCAAGTGCGATTTGATCAGTGGCTTCCCTCCCACTGTCCTTGGGATGAGCCTGCCCAGTCCTCTACCACCTCCAGTCTTTTCTCCCCTCACTTTGCCCTTGTTCTCTGAGCTCCAGCCAGCTGGCTATTCTTTCAGCCTTCCTATGTGCAATTCTCTCTGACTGGGAAGATTTTCTCCTCGTATTTCCTACTTAGACTTCAGATCTCAGTTAAGCTGTCACTTCCTTCGGAGGCTTTACCTGAGACCATGGATGGCATTGTTCCTGTGTATTTTTCTTCCTTGCACGCATTGTTAGCAGTATCCACTGTAAAATTATTGGTTTAATATTCCGGACACACCTGCAAACTCTTAGAAAGCATGGTGTTTTGCCCATCATTGTAGCCCCACTCCCTACAATGGATATTCAAAGTCTTCCACAAATATTTGTTGAATGCATAAGCAAATAGACCAAGCCCCTTCTACACAGCATTGATCAGGGTCTGTACACACAGGTGAGCCTGTTGAGACCCAAGACCAATAACCACTCAGTCCTGGAGAAGGCACATCTAACATAAGCTAAACTCCAAAGACCAGGCCTGTGCCAAGGTGCCTATGGGGACAGTGTCACTAGTAGGGGCCAAGAAAGAAGCTAGCAGATGGGGAATTACAAGCAGGAGCCAGCTCCTGTGTATTAGAGGTATGGAAGACAAGAATCTCTGAGTGAAGGAGCCCAGTAGTGCCCCCAGCTCTGGCTGGGAGTTCCCTTCTGCTCCAAGGATGGAGAAGATACACCCACATCAGCTTGGCAAGATGCAATGAGGCTGAACAGGTGGGGTGGTGAATCACACTGGCTGCTTCACGGTCGGGGGGAGAGGCGGAGGGGGGGCAGAACCACCTTGGAGGTCAAGTGCTCTGTGATTAAACTGGCTGTCCTCTGGGTAGAAGGCTCTGGGGGAGGGGAGAGGAAAGGCGACCAGACTCAAGGTTTGGAAAGGGACGCACTTTCTTTCCTCCACTTTCTCCGAGCTACTCCAAGAGGTGAGGCATGGGGAATGTGGCTTCTGCTTCTCTACTCCTCTCCTTCAACCAAGGCTGGTGGCTTCTCTGGAGACTTGTCTGATGGCTCTGTACTCGGTGTCATCCTCTGGAACAATCTTTTCTGGCCCTCTTTCATCATCTTGGACTCTTCCCAAGAGATGGGCATTTCATTTCCCTATTTGAGGCCCTCCATGGAGGCCAGTACAGGCAAACTTCATTGTGGAACATCTCTCCTCCTGTGATCTCAGTGGCCCTAGCTGACAATGGAGATGATGGGTGAAACCTACTATTTCAAGAAGGCCAAAATGAAGAGAGAGAGAGAGAGAGAGAGAGAGAGAGAGAGAATCTGTGTTGGCTGGTGGTTGAGGCTCGGCCAAAGAGAGCCTATGTAGGATAAAAACTGGGTAGAAGAGAAGCCAGTGATGGGGACAGCTGAAGATGTAAGAAAGAGGTGGCCTTGGAGAAAGCAGGGGAAGATGGGATCTAGGCCTAGTAGGAGCTAGTCCTGGAGAGAGGAAGAGGTATTGCCTCAGTAGGCAGGAGGGCCAAGGGGATGTTTACCTGTAGGGCATCTGAGGAAGCAAGGATACCTAGTGAGCAAGTGTGAGGGAACAGATGGGGAAACAGCCAATGAGAAGCAGAGGAGCTGAGAAAATGCAAGTGAGTGTTAGGATACAGCCATATTTGGGAATGAGCAGGGCAAGCGGTGCTTTAGAAGGCTGGAGGCCAGGCGTGGACCACCACAAGCTCGGGGACTTGCTTGTCATTCTGTGCAAGCACCAGAGGCTTCCAGAACAGACCACTAGGCACAAATGTTGGGCTGAGGAGTTTGCGTTCTAACTGGACCACATCATCACATAACCTTGGGTAGCTCATCAGCAAGCTATAGCCAAGCCAGTAATAATAAGGAAGTGAAGGGATGGGGCTGTAACTCAGTGGTAGAGTGCTCGGCCGGCGTTCTTAAAACTCCACCACCAGTGTCACAACAAAAGGAAACAGAAGCCGGGCGGTGGTGGCGCACGCCTTTAATCCCAGCACTCGGGAGGCAGAGCCAGGCGGATCTCTGTGAGTTCGAGGCCAGCCTGGGCTACCAAGTGAGTTCCAGGAAAGGCGCAAAGCTACACAGAGAAACCCTGTCTCGAAAAACCAAAAAAAAACAAAAAAACAAAAAAACAAAAACAAAAGGAAACAGAGCAGCTCCCTTGTGCCCACCAATTCAACCAAAGCCCCCTGGGCAAAGAAGCACTGTGCACACTCCCTAACAAGCCAGAGTTCCACAGCTCTCTGGCTTCCTGCTCTCAAGAGCTAGCTCTTGGAGAAACAGCTGATGTGAGTCAGGAAAGTGACAAGTTGATCCCTGAAACATCTTTATAGTTATCGTTATTATTACTATTCATGCATTATTTGTGTGAGTGCAAGTATGTACATGCTACGGTGCACATGCAAAGATCAGAGGACAACTTTAGGGAGTCCTCCCTTCCACCGTGAGTCCTGGGTGTTGAACTTTACCCACTGAGCCACCTTGCTGGCTTCCCCAAAGCATCTCGTCATGCCCACAAATAAGAACATGCCCCCAGACTGCAGCTATAGCTGAGCACTCACATCTGTAACCCCAGCATGTAGGAGGAGCAGCGCAAGTCCAAGGGCAGCCTGGGCTGTGCTGGGAGACGCCCTCTCCAAACACACAAACCTCCACCATGCCACAGAGTACAGGGCTCCACTGAAGGAGCTCTCAATGGCCAGAGTGACAATCTGAGAGACGGAGAGACTTGTATACAACTATAGCAGCAAATATAGATACATAGCCAGGCGTGATGGCGTGTGTTTGCCATCCCAGCAGTTCAGAGACAGAGGCAGGAAGATCCAGGCCAATCAGGGCTAAATAAATAGTGGGACTTTGACTCCCCCGCCCCCACCATCACAAAGGATACACAAGTTAACAGTGAGATGTATAAAATAAGTATATGCAGGATGGTTTAAAAATCACCATCGCCGTCACCTCAGCCCTGCTCCACTTAAGCATAGACAGGGCTTGGTGACTTGACTCCAGAGCAGACTACAGGAAACGGAAGAGTTCCCTTAGAGTGAAAGCCGCTCCCAGCTGCTGGCTTAACCACAAGACTGACTAAGGTCGGTATTACCAATGATGTTTCGTGGCCGGTACATACTTCTTCTAAGAGGGGATGAAGGAGAGCCTTCACTTACGTGATAGTCCCCCCGAATCCATAACACCCGTCTACTAGTGAGAAAAAGTGCAGGCAAAGTGAGTGTGAGGACTGTCCTCAAAACACCGAACCAGTCCTCAAAGCTGTCACAGTCATCACACACAAGAAAAGACAGACAAATTTCCAAGACCAGAGGAGACTAAGGAACGGGGCATACGGCAAAGCTCAATGTGGTGCCTAAATTAGATCCTGAAACAGGAGAAAAGCTGATAAAATTTTGGGCTGACCAGAGGGCTCACTGGGTAAAGGTGCTTGCCAAACAGGCCTGGCAACTAACCTTCAGTCCCCAGAAACATGTCAACAGGAAAGAACCCACTCCACAAATGTGCTCTGACTTCCACGTGTGCACCATGGCACGAAAGCCCTCCCTGCTCCCACAAATAGTAAATAAAAAAAAAATAAATAAAGATTAAGAAAAATGCCAGGCGGTGGTGGCGCACGCCTTTAATCCCAGCACTCGGGAGGCAGAGCCAGGCGGATCTCTGTGAGTTCGAGGCCAGCCTGGGCTACCAAGTGAGTTCCAGGAGAGGCGCAAAGCTACACAGAGAAACCCTGTCTCGAAAAAAAAAAAAAAAGAAAAATTAAGCCCTACAAAGTCTAGAGTTTGGTAATAATGTACCATGTTGGTCCCTTAGTTATAACAAATATTCCATGGTAATATAAGATGTTAAAAGGGAAGCTAGGCCAGTCATAGTACGTTCCCCCTTTAATCCCAGTACTCAGGAGGAAGAGGCAAGCAGATCTCTGAGTTCAAGTCCAGCCTGGTCTACAGAGTGGGTTCCAGGACAGCCA